TCCAGACAGACAATAAGAATGATAAACACAAGCCCAGTGGGTGAACAGATACTTATTAAATTATATTTATATGTATGTAAAATCTATGTATACACACGTATGTACATACACTCTGTCCATCCATCTGCTTATCTCTTTATATATAGAGCGTGTATGTGTGTACTTAGAAAGTGTCTGTCTACCTACCTATCTATGACAGAGTATGTACAGTTGACCCTTGAACAACTCAGGAGTTACCCCTGTACAGTTGAAAATCTGAGCATAACTTTTGACTCCCTTGAAACTTAATTACGAATAGTCTACTGTTGATCAGAAGTCTTACCGATAACATAAACAGTTGATTAACGTGTATTTTGTATGTTATGTGTATATATACATATATTTTATGCATTCATGACGTACTTAACTTTTTCTTAACTTTTTGGATAATTCTAGGTTATGTGGCTCGTCTGCAAATTTTTTTAAATGGTCACAAATTTCCAAAAGTTTTTCCAATATATTTATTGAAAAAAATCTGCATATAAATGGACCCACAGTTCAAACCCATGCTTTCAAGCGTCCCCTGTATATACATATACATTTAGAAAGTGTATATTTATATATATACACAGAATATATATAAAAAGAGAGCATATGTATGTAGACGTATGTATGAATATACGTGTGTACACGCGTATATACGTGCATACGTTCGTGTGTATGTATATGCGCGTATGTGTGTGTATATAGAGGGGAATACTGGGAGAAAACACTGAAAAGATGAAGACAGTTGTGTTGAAACAAGGATTCTATATGATTTTTCCTTTGTAAACTGTTCTGTCACTACGGTTGATTTTTAAATAACTTAAAAAGTATGATTTCCAAAAGGCACAGCTTCTTGCCACCGTGTCCCTGCGTCCCGGCCGAGGCGGGCTGGTGCAGCAGGTAGCCAGGCTGTGCTCTCCGTGGCTGGGCAGTCGCCCCGCTTCTGCCCCGAGCCCCGGCTGCCTGGCTTCACGGATCCCGGCACGAGCAGATGTGGGAAAGCGAAGGGCGCCCTCCTCCCGTGTGTTGAAGGGCAGCGTTCCATCCCAAGGAGGCTGAACTCCCGGCACCCTGTTCTCTGGAAATGGCTCCCGTCATTCCAAGGGGGGTGGACGTTACTTTAGGGGGCGATCAGGGGCGGCCCCGGGGATGGGGGTGGGACAGGTGCAGCAGCAGTGCTTCCAGAGCTAAAGGGGCGCCCGGGAGGGCAGGGCATCAGGGGGAAGAGGCTCTCCAGCCCCGACTGCCCCCCCATCTCCCACGGGGTGCAGGAGCCCCTCCCTCGTTCCCCAGCCCCACGCCCAGACCCTCCTGCTGGGCCTCTCAGACACCTCACAGATCCGTCCCCTCTCCACCATCACCGCCCCAGAACGCCATCACTGCTCATGGCCCCCAGATGCGCCGCCCCTCCCTCCATCCTCCACTCAGAGCCGTCTTCCTGAAATTCCTACCCTGTCCTGACAGAACATTCGGGGGGCTGGAGAGGGGGGCACGGGGCCATCTTATTGCTCTCCCTGCCTACGTGCATGCTTGAATCCTCCACGGCAAAATGGAAAAGCAAGCCAACAAACCCCAGACCACAGGCCTTCAAGGAGGCTCTCCCGAGTTGCAGGGGGATGATCAAAACCCCTATTCTGCTTTCAGCCAGGTCTGCCCTGCCTCGCTCCCGGAGGGGCCATCCTGAGCACTCATGGTCCCCCCGTCCCCCACCTCCCTGGGCAGGGTCCCCTCCCCGCGTCTCTGTCCAACTTTGTACCCCATGTGCAGCACCTGTGTCTCCTGGGCTCACAGACTATGAGCCTGGAGCAGGCAGACAAGGCTTGTGGTTGGAGCCCAGGAAAGGGCCGTCCCTGTGGTTGACGGGTTGGGATCTGAAATGCTTCTGCAGCCGGTGCAAACAACCAGGCTGGGCCAGTACAAGGTTGGGGTCCCCCAGTATGCAAGCTGATCTACCCCTCATAGTCTTCCAGAAAAACCCCGGGCGTAAACACGGGCCCCCCGGCCAAGTGCTGAGTGGTCCTGAGGCCTCAGCAGATGAGGCTGGTGGGAGAGGAGGGGTCAGGCTGGCTGAAAAATGGAGCCCCGCATCCCTCCCTCACCCCAGCAGAGGTCAGGAGCTCTACTCTGGAGGTCGGGCAGAGTGTCTGGACCTGGGAACGCCATAAACAACTGAGGCAAGGGGTCCACATGGAAAGTGTGTGGCCGGATCACCAGGCAGAAGGCTGCATGTGGGGCTCCACCCCCTCTTCCAGCTCCTGACGCGATCTTCCCTCCAGACAAGAGGCTGGAAGATTCTTTTCTTGAATCTGACCAACCTAAAGGGACAACAGTTCTGGGGGTTACCCAAAAAGTGGCCCAGAAAGCTCACCCTACAGCAAGACTCAACAACCAAAAGTCACCTGTCACATTCAGAGGTTCTGCCTCTTAATCAATCACAGATAGCCAAGGATTCCCAGACATTGGAGCAGGGCCCTAGGATGGCAGAGACCAAGACAAGAGGAAAGAAAGAAAGCAGCACAGCTGAAAAGAGAGACTCAGAAGGGAGGAATGATTCTATAAGATTCTTAGAGAGATAGGCCCTGTATTCATGAAACAAGAACAAGACTCTGTTAAAAGGAACAGCTCTTGGAAACCAAAACCATGATGGCAGAAACGGAGAACTTTACACCAGGTTGGCACAGCAAAAAGCTGAAGAAAGCTCCCTGAACGTACAGCAGAAATGAGTTACAAAATAGAAAAGTCAAGCTAAGACTTTCTAAAAATGGAAAGTAAAACTATATAGGATATCAAAATGGAAATACCAGGAGTTCCAGAAAGAGTAAAGGGAAAACACAGAGAGGAAAGAGCTGTCGGGGAAATGGTGCAGGAACCTGTCCCAGATAGAACACACGCACTGCTGCCTTGGAAGGACCCAGAACGTGCCCGGCCCCCCACTGGGAAGCAGACCCACACAAGGCATCTCCTGTGGAATTTCACAGCCCCCGGGAAAGGAAGGTTCTGCACACTTCTAGGGAGGAAATATTGGGCCCTGTGCACACACAGAGGAGTCAGGCGGCTTTGACTTCCCTTTACTTCCCTTTGCTGAGATTGCAACATTGGAATCAAGGAATGATGGAAGCCACCTTCAAAATTCTGTAGGACGATGATTTCTCACCCAAGATTCTACACACAGCCAAGCCTGCAATCAAGTACCAGGGTCGAGAAAGGCCAATTTCACACAGGCAGAATCTCAAAACGCCCTGAGCCCTTTCTCAGGAACCTCCTGGAGGATGTGCGCTCTGCCCAAATGAAGGAGGACGATTTGGGAGCTGGTGACCACGAGGTCCACAAGGGAAACCGATGGTGACAGAGACCCCAGGACGACAGCTGTGCGCCCAGTGGTGAGGCCACCATCCACCCAAGGGCGGGGGGCCTCGGGGCACAGAGAGTTTGAGGGCTGCCTGTGAGTCCCTGCCATTCCTCCATCTTCTTAACCTGAGGCCAGGAGGTCAGTCCAGTGGCCCAGATTCTTATCCGTGTCTGACTTGGCACAGCTGTGACTAATGAGGTCCCTCTTTCCCCTCTGTGATAAGTTAAGAAATATTTGCTGTTACTCGTGATAAGAACATGTAACATACGTGTTTTAAGTGTCCACTACACGTTTTAAGTGTCCACTACACGTTTTAAGTGTCCACTACAGAATGAGTAACTTCCAGCACCAGGCTGGACAGCTCTGGAACACACTCGTCTTGCAGAACTGAAACTCTCTCCCTTTGACTCATACCTCCAGCTGCCCCGACAATGGAATATTTTAACGTAAACTTTGCATTAGAACATAACATATATAAAGAAAAAGGCACAAATCATAGGTGATCAGCTTGCTGAATTTTCATAAAGCGAACACACCTGTGTCACCACTCAGCTCAAGAAACAGAGCGCTACTGGGACTTCCCTGGCCGTCCGGCAGTTGGGACTCCGCACTCCCAAGGCAGCGGGCCTGGGTTCGATCCCTGGTCAGAGAAATAGATCCCGCATGCCGCAACTAAGAGTCCGCATGCCGTTACTAAAATAAAAGACCCTGCACACCGCAATGAAGATCCCGTGTGCCGCAACTAAGACCCAGCGCAGCCAGATAAATAAATAAATTAATTAATTAATAAAAAGAAAGAAACAGAATGTTACCCACTCCACCCCCAGTCCCCCAGCCCACTGGGTGTCTTGGGCCCTGTCACGATGGATGCCTTTCCTCAAAGCCCCCGATTTGGTTCATGGGGACTCTCCCACCAGCGACCACTCTTCCTGAGGGCAAGCGTCCAGTCTGTCTGGTGACTGGGCTGGGTTCCCACCTTTCGGGGGGCCTGGATCCGGGGAGGGGCTTCGTGGCTCTGAGTGACTGACCCACTGACCACCCAAGGTAGAGCCCCCTGTCCTGACCCAGGTGCCCACCCCACACGATGCCTGGTGTGCAGGTTTTCCAAGGGTCCAGCAAACATTTACTGAAGTAAGGGATAAATGAATGGATGGATGCTGGCTGGTTTTCCTCTTAACTCGTTTCGCATCTTAATCATGCACCCCTCCGGGACCGAGGGCCATCACCAGGGGTGCCCCGCGTCGGGGTAGAGCTTCTGTGGCACCTGCAATGAACGAAGTTGAAACAGACCGGCGCCTGGAGTAAGAAATTCCTGCGGGAAGCCGGGCAGGCAGCGATTGGCAATGGGACTCGTCTGGCCTCCCTTGGCTGGCCTTCCCTCAGGTCTGGTCACCGTGCTTGACCAGCTCTGCCGCAGGGTGTGACTAAACAGACCCAGACGGCCGCGATCCGCCCCCTCAATAAACGCGCCCCTTGTTAGACTGAACAGGTTTAGAAACTTGAACAAAAAGGCCGGCGCTGCCGGGTCGAGCCCCAGTTCCGCCGCCCAGGTGCCGGGTGCACGTCGGCCCCGCCCCGGCGTGGACAGCGGTGACATCACACGGCGCGGGGCGGAGCGCAGGGCGCGGGGCGGGACCAGCGAGAGCGGCGGCGCCCGGCGGGAGAGCGAGTACGGCCGAGTCGGCGCCACCATGGCCACCGTGGATCTGGAGAAGCTGCGGATGTCCGGGGCCGGCAAGGCCATCGGCGTGCTGACCAGCGGCGGCGATGCGCAAGGTGGGCGCGGGCACGCGGGGG